TAATAAAGATTCTGTGTTAATCTCAGGTTGTAATCAATCTGGAAATGAGAGAATTGCTGTGCCCAGAGTCGACCAACAGATAAAGCCAATAAAGTAAGTAAACCACTGCTTCTGCAATTCCTTTTAAAGTGTTTGACTGTTTGGTCTTGTTCATTTAACATCATTTTATGATTTGTATAAAGTCTGTCTGCCTCCAACTTCCCGGCTGTGCAATGCACCAATTTGCCAGCAGAAATGAAGTGTCTTCTTTGCAACTCTTTCTTCAAGGAAGCAGTGATGATTCCTTGTTGCCAGCATAGCTTTTGCCAAAACTGTGAGTCCTTCATGCAATAATAAGCTCTTTATTCTCGATCAATACTTGCAACCTCTAGGATTCTGTGATATTTTATTGATTTACTTACTAAATTGTTTGATGCAATTGCAGGTATCCGTCAAGTTCTTGTTGAGAAGAGGAGGTGCCCAAAGTGCTTTTCGAGCAAGTGCCGTGTAGAGGACCTACTACCAAATTTGTCACTGCGTCAAGCTATTGAGCATTTTCTTGAAGCTGAGATGCTCGATGCTGGTGTAGATAACGCCTTGCAGAAATATGCGCCAGGTGCATAAGCTAAATTCTGTCACATTCTTGAGGAACTTCACATAGAATGGTGAATAATTGTTTCTTTTTTTCCCTGGTGTGCGTGCTGTAAAATGCAGATGGTGAGTCTGGAATTCAGGCTAGGGAGTTTTCATGTGCGCCTTCAGTAGTTCAAAGGGAACTGGAATTCCCACAGTCGTCTTCCGCAACTGGGAAAGGATCCAATCAAGTTTATAAGGACGCATATTTTGAGCAGCAACATCAAAGAAATGTGCCATTTGGCACCTCTGTTAGTAAGGACATAAAACCTGCTTTTCCACCACAGAAAGTCAATCAGATAGATGGTTTGAGTGGCTACCCTCGTCATAATGATATGCGAAGTGGGCCTGAAGATTTTGCGCTGTCAGCAGACTTTCAGGGGGAAAATCAACCAATTATTCCTCTAGCTAATGTTCATTTTGAAGGTATTTGCTTCTGCTTATCGCTGTAATATAACTTTTATCCTATAGACTATTGCGAATGATAAGAAGCTTTCAACAGTTGCCACCTTGATAACTGCTCCCGTCATTATAATTGTTTATGGTGCTTTTTAATGTTATAATAAATTATGAAGTTAGCCAGTGCCATCTTGTTAACTGTTTTCATTAGTTCTGATTGCCACATTATCCCTGTGAACAGTTTTTTTTGTTTTCTCTTTTCATTCTGGTTCCTTGACCATTTCTTGGGATTTTTTCTACAGCTGATTATAACACCAGGAGAAGAGGGGGGCGCTGGACTGAATCTGGAGGTGAACTTATATACTTTTATGGTTACATGACATTGCTTCCCCCTCCCCCTTTTTTTTTCCCTCTATGTAATGCTTACTTTTCAGGTGGAGAGAGAAATTTTATGGGTCCTGGTGGACATAGAAAGGTAACTTCAGTTACTTAATGTTGTAAATTTCTATAGAAGCTTAAGATTGAAGCCTTGACAGTATTAGCATCTGTTTTTATTGATTAACAGTCTGGACTAAGGTGTTTCATTTGAAATCCCAAGTCTCCCCCCCTCAAATAAATAGAAGCATTTAACAAAAACTTCTGTTGTTTTTATTTTTTGGCTACTCGTTCATTTACATTTTGTAACTCAGGGCACTCGCAATTGCTACACATGTGGTTCTCCTGACCACCTCATGAGAGACTGCCCTATATCGCATCCGAATCCCATGTTTCAGCCAGGTACTGCCAATTAAAGTATATCTTGATTTGGGGGAGGGGGATGGATTTGCATTACATCTTCAAATCCACCAGGCCTGACATGTTTTGGTTATAAACCTTAAATATTTAGTTTATGGTTGATCTAATAAATCTTTCTAAAATCTAATCAGTGTGTACATACCTATGTTTATTCAAGAACAATAACACACATCCATTCTTGGTTTGTCCCTCATACATCACATTAGCGCACACGGCACACAACACATTTTTTTTGTGCACAAACTGCACACATTTCATGCGCAAGAACTGCACAGAACTTATTCACCATATTCCCACAATTTCATACGAAAAAGTGAAGCACGCTTTATGTAAACTAGCAGACAAACAAGCACGACAGAATACACATTTCACGCATACTCAAAAAATTTAAATACTGCTTTTTGTTAATACAACTGATTAAACTGAATTTGTAATGGATTTGAGATATTCGCAAATCCACACTGCATTCAAATCGAGAAATAGAATATGCTTTTAAAATCCGTCACGCAAATGCTTATTAGGTTAAAAATCATTTCAGGAAATGGAGCGTATCATGGGGGCATGCATGGCTTTGCACAGCCACCCTACTGGAATGGCTCTTCAATGCCACCCTTCAGGCCATACGCCAACATGTATGGGAACCCTGCGATGATGTCGTTCAATGCATCCATGGTTCCTGTTTCACCCTATGCTGCACCTCCCTACTTTCCTTCCATGGGCGGGAGCATGCCTGGCCCTGGGTAGGTTAATGAATTTATCACTTGTTTCAAGTTTACTTCTACCATAAGTATTACTTGCATATATTTACACCCAAATGCAACATGCAGTGCAAACATGAGAACGGGAAACATGGGGCCTCCTAGACATCCGGAGCACTTTGGGCTGCAACCTTGTGAGAATAGTAGGAAGCATCCAAATGAAGAGTTTGAAAGGTAAATTTTTTTGCTCCAAAACCTCCTTTGGTAATAGAGAATGGCAGCGACACATTATATCTCACAAGTCATAAGCAATGTAATATTGTATGGAATTATAAAATGAATAATAAATAATTCCATATTAGAATGTTATTCTCAAATAACTATTCCATATTATAATATAATATCATTTATTTTTTTTTGTACTTGAATATATTATATGCATTATTAATTATTTTATTATTTCTTTTCTGCAAAAAAATCATTCCATTTGGTAACATATGTGATTTGATGTAATTCTGTTTCTTGGGATTTTTTTCTTCTAAGGTAAACTTTTGAGATACTTTGTAGGGAATTTAAAATATGCTATTAGCTGGCATTTACTTTTTTTTTTTTTGTGGAGGAATCTAAAAGAATTATGCTATTAACTGGCTTTTACTTCTTTTATCCAACAGATGACGTCAGCTCATTTATCAAGAAAGGAAAAAAAATGGTCATTCAATAATTTATCATTATTAGAAATTCCCCCATTTATCAATAAGTTGTACCCTTTGTGCACTCACATTACGCTTTAGCTACCCACCATTATTTTTATATCAAATAAACAACAATCATTACGTTTTCATCTCACACCCATTTACCATTTCAAAAATTTTGTTTTTATTTTTTTAAATATCAACTCGTAGATGGAATTTTCCAAACTTATCCCGTCACTCACTCTAGAGTGCTTTGCTCTATCTGTGGAATACTGCTGCAGTCATATCTGGTATACAATATTCTTGTTTTCTAACATGGGTCCTCTGTATCAGAGAAACTCTATCCGAGGAGGAGGACGAGTCCCCAGAACGCCACCGGCATGTCACCCCAGAAAGGTCACACGATCAAAGACCACGCAAAGAGGAGACCCGCTCGGATGACAGCCTTGCCCGGAGGTCCGCAGGAAAAAATCAGCAGGATAAGTTTTTGCACGAGAAAGTTTCCCGCCCGTCCAACTCCAGTAGGGACAAGAGGACTTCCATTGGGGAGAGGTCAAATTCGGGCAAGGAGGATGCTTCTAGAAGCTCCGAGGGCAGGAACAGGCACCATCATCACGGTGAGTCGAGGAGGCACCACGAGAGTGAGTCGAGTCATGGTCATTACTCGGCCCCAAAGGGTGTCAAAAGAAGGCCTGATCCAGATGTCAGGGGTTCTCATCATAGCCCTCCTGCTGATCGGAGGAGGGAGTACAGAGATCGTGATTACTCCTCGAGGCATGCTGGGAAGCACTCAAGGGAGGAAAGACGTGAGGAGAATGGCCTGGAAAGGGACCGTGGGGATGAGTATCGCCACCATAAGCGGAGAGCGCATTAAGCCTGTGATCGTCTGCTTATCCTTTTAATAGGTATTTTGTATCACTTGTAGTTGCAGTTGTGAAATTGTCGATTTAAAGAAGTCTTATATACTATTATACTAAAAGGTTGATACAAGTCGTTTTTAGTTTATCTTAGGTTGGTGGTCTACTAACATAGAAATTGCAAGACAGCGTTTAGACTGGTCTTACCTTTAGTGTTATTGGTGTCTGCTTATATACATATCTATCTATATATATATATATATATACCTATATATACGTGTGTGCGTGTGTGTACGTGTGTGTATATATGCCGTATGTTTTTTTTATTTGTGACTAATATTCTTCCCTTGTTCAGAGTGAGGTTCAGATGGTAGCAAAAGTTATTGCCAGTGGCTCTGGCAATTAATAATGTTGCAAGTATTTATTTCTCACACGTTCGGTCTTTGCGCGTGGGTCATGCTGGTGTGGTATATATTTCAATTTCCAGAAGTGCCGTTTTATGGGTAAGGAATATATATCTATTACCATGGCAGATATTTTGCGGATAAGGTATGTATTTCTTGAACCAGGGGTCCTCTACTATAGTGTAGCTGCACCCACTTCTTTCTCTGGTGACTCATTCCCCTTCTCTATATCTTCTTATTTCCTTTTTTGTTTTTGAAGGAATCTCACTGCCATTTTATGAATTTTGATTGGAAGAAAAGTATAAAAAAACTAAAACCGAGCATAATACTTGATAATTTGTAGAATCTCTAGAAATCGGGTTGTCTGATTTTTGTTGAAATAAAGGATGCATTTGCGAAAAATCTTATTATGGGTCTAATGCCAGGAATAAGATTATGAGCGGGTAATTTGTGCATCCCGTGCATGATTTGTGCACGGTACACATGATCATGCATACAAAGATGTATTTTAATTTGTAAAGGGTATACACAGAAGGGGCGGAAAAAAAAAAGAAAAAGAAAAAAAACAGCAATTTGCAATTGGATGAATATCTCTGTGTGTGTGTGTGTGTTCACTTTTGTTGCATCATAATTTTGGAAAAACCTATTGTCTCATTATGGGATGATTCCATGGGGGTTTTTAACTATGGATTATCTACGATAACTTACATGTATATCTAAGGTTAATAATAACTCTCATGGAATCATTCTGTGACGGGACTGTAGTATTTTTTCATAATTCACTTGATTATGACTCTTTTTCTTTTAGCGTGGTTCCGCTTTTAGTGATTTAGGACATATCTCATTATTTGCATTTTCATGTTATATCCGTTAGCATATTGAGAATATTTTTTTTTTATCCTGTCAGCGCTACATTTTCATGTTATATTCGCATCAATTTCATGCATTGCTCATGTTTTCTTCCTCAGTGTGTGTGTTTGGGAGAACATTGGATTTTATATTCAATTTTGATTGCCACTTACAATCCAACACCGTTAGACGTATGTCATGTTGTGATAATTGTGCACATGACATTCATCTATTTTGTTGGATACTTGATAACAATATTTTTTAACTCAAATGTTTCATGGTGGAAATTTAAAAGTATTTGCGGGGAGATCTTTGGGTGTCTATTGCCACCTAATATTAAGCTTCATTACATTAAAACTTCATATTTACGTAAGCTTTATTTACGTAAGCTTTATTTGGGAGATTATACTGTCCCATTACGGAACCATTCCGTCGAGGCTTGTGACCGTTAGATCAACTATCCACGACTGTTACTAACGGTTATAAATCTCGACGGAATGGTTCCGTAACGGGACTGTAGCATTTCCCATGTTTATTATATTAGACATGTTTATTATATTAGAGAAACAACAAATATTGATAATTTAAGGTAATCAAACTGATAGCGACATCAACGGTTGATAACAATAAACAATACAAAGGATAGTAACAATCCGCCCAGTGCAAAGTAGCCCACCGATCTCGTTGGCCCTTCGTCCTCTCTGGCTCCTAATGCAAGTTGGTTGCATTTTGTTTCAGATATGACCTGATGACAAGCTGTTTTTGAGAAAATAATTCCTGAGCACAAAGAGGACAAATTTATGTGGCAGAAAAAAACTGTGACATGCACACATTACATGATGGATGCAACCCAGAAACTCTTTGGGACCGGGATTACTAGAAGACACCGTAGGCATTGTGACGATTAATACAAAATTTAAAATCTTTTGGTTGTTAAAGGAAACAAACAGGAAGCATAAACGGTTGATAAACAATAGGAAAAAGTGGTTGATAAACGGGAAGCAGAAAAGGTTAAAAAAAAAATAAAAATGAATAAATTGTATATGACAGTGATCATCTTTAGAGGAAAAAGTATTAACACTCTTTGAACAATGTCGGAAGATGAAATTGCAGCAATCCTAATGTTTTAATATTGTTTATGTTATACTTTTAAAATATAAATTTAAATATAAAGATATTATATATTTGTTAATGAATATGATTGTCTAATAATTAGTTGGTCTAACAACAATGACGTACTCATGAAATTATTACATGTAGTGATGTAAATGGATTATGAAAGGCAAAAAGAAAAATTGGTTTTTGTCCTGCTTACCCTTGGTGGAGGGGTTCAAGTTATACTTGAGTTATGTTAACCTCAAAAGGCACAGATGGCTCCGGCTGCTCCAGTGCTCCTCGTCTCGACTGCCGCCGCCTACCTTTGGGGCACCGCCTCCGCCTCTGCCTCGTCGCCCCGCCTCTCCTCACCTATCACCTCTGACACAAAGCTACGTTATGCGTGGACCGATTGTGATGATCGAGGTAAATAAAAGGAAACAAAAAAATATATGTGGCAGGTACAGGTCGGACGAGCTGACCTGCCCCAAATCAGGTCAGGGCGCGGGCTTGACCTGCTGGACCCATCGCGGGTCGCGGGCAAGGTCGAATCCACATGGCAGAAATTCGAGCCTGGCTCATTTCCATCCCAAGGCTACACGTAGTTAGTCAGGGTTTTTACTCCTTGCCAAGCTCCAATTGTACAATCTCCTTTCCTCCTCATATTACACAATTGGATGGGACACCTGAAAACACAACGCCAAAAAACCACTTCAGTTATTGAATAATTTTTTTCTTATAACTATCGTAGAAAACTAGGAACTACTTTGATTTTCTCAGATAAATGATATTATTATTATTATTATTATTATTATTATTATTATTATTATGATGATGATGATGATGATGATGATGAGCTCTAGCTCCTTTCCAAGCCAGCAGCCAAAGGTTCTTTAGTTCGGATAATTTGGTTTGTGACCATGGAGATTTTATAAAGGAGAGGAAAAAATGTGGGAACCAACTCACATTGTGGGAAAGATACAATCTTGACTGGAAAGTGAGCTGAAGGACTAGATCCATCCATGGTGACAGTAGGTTGTTGAGTGGAAAGATACAATCTTGACTCCAAGCTTAAAAGCATAGCATAAACCTCATTAAGGGAGTAAGGTTCAATCTTGGTTGTGACTGCAACTACCACAACGTTGTATTCAAATCTTGGTCCTAAAAGGATGTGCAAGATGCTCATTGACAGGTTTTCCAGGTGTTATAAAAGGATCACAACAAGCCATTCACTTGAGATAAAAAATTCCCTCATTGGCATGGTACCTTCTGTAAGGGTCTGGAGTTGCAGCTTAATTTGCATAAGCATGACAGTCGATTGGCCTGAGAAATTTGATTAAGGGCTTGCGAGACCTCCTGAGATGTTTTTACCAACCATCATAACTAGAAGATTTTCAGAAAGAGAGGACAAATCCATGAGGCTAGCAATTGATCTTGTCTGACCCAGTTGATATATTCTGGATTTATTTGGATATGAGAGAGAATTGTTGGCGAAAGAACAATGCTCTCTTTGGTGATGTAGTTTTCTAACCCATAGTCTTTAATGGTGATCGTCACTTGCTGTTTCTAAAAAAAGAAAGTTTGAATGAGTTAGCTTAAGAGACACCAGCTGGTGATGAGATAATGAGAGTAGTCTGGCTATTTGGAACATATAAAGGTGAACATATTTGTCTTGGAGAGGAAGTTGCCATAATGGCTGATCAATTATTTGCAACTTAATGAATCAATTTCTTCAGAGCAAGAAGAATTCAGATGACTGCTTATCTCATCTGGTTGTTGTGGAAAGCTAGAAATTAATGAGTTTTCAAAAATTTTTGGCTTTTTGAATTATGTATTGTGCAATCTGCTTCTTCTGCTTGGATAGAATACTTAAAACTGCTCTTCTTAATTTTCTTTAGTTATTTTTATGTCCTTGGCTGCTTGCCTTTCTTAGTTGTTTGTCGGTTTGTTGTTTGGTTAGCTGCTTTGTTAGTTGATCTGTTGTGTGGGTTCTTAGTATGCTTCTTGAATTGTTGTTGTAGTGGTAAATCTTCTAGGTTCATTTGTTATGTGGCAGGTTCATTTTTTGTCTTTTGTGCTAGTCGGGGTTCTTATAGTGCAGATGATTTAGATGTCACGTTTCGGGTTCGGTAGCTCCAGTCTCTGCCAGTTTTTCTAATATCTATTTCAGTCTAGGTTTGTTCTTTTTTTAGGTCACTTTCGTGAGAGTTTCTTCTATTCTACCTTTCGGTAGTCTGTTTTGTAATTATTGTTCAATTTGTTCTCTTGTTGGAGCTATAAATTCTACCATATCGAAAAAAAATTAATAAATGTATTCTCTTTAAAATGTAAAAAGTGTCATCTCAATGTGTCTTTAATTTCTTTTGATGAATGTGTTATTTCCCCATTAATAAGCCGTATGGCTCAATTATAGTGTCCAAGTATCTTGTCTTATGGTTATGTAAGTGTCCCTCTTTGGGATACTTTTTCTCACTCCTCATGCTCGTGAGTTTGGGCTAAAATAATGGTTGGTATTGGGGAGTCCAACAATGGCTTACGAGAACTCTCGTTTGTTTTGTATGCTTTTGTTGTTATTTTATGTGTTTTTAGGTGACTAATTTGTACTCATTTTAGCTTTCTGGTCCATTTAGTCATTTTTGTTAGTTTTTTATGTTTTCGTTTTGTTTTAATATTTTGTGCCTTTTTTTTTTATCTCTTTTTATATTTTATTTTGTTGGAAAATGCTTTTAGAAAATATGTTTCGCGTGCCGGAAAGTCACAAAAAAACTCACAAAAAAAGTTACCGAAAACTTGCCGAAAAGTCTCCAGCCGGTCGGCTCGGTCAGCCTCCAATGGACCCGAGTCATGCCGCACTTGATGCCAGCACATAGGCGCAAGCCACGTCGTACAGCACCTCTGCGCGTCGCTCAACGCACCCTCGTGCGTTGCCCAACGCGCCTGCGCGACGTCGCCGATGCTTTACTGCAACATCCCCGCCTGCGTAGATGAGGGCCGCACGTCGACACTTGTCCATCCAGCGCGACATGTTGCTTACACGCATGCACCACGCATAACTGGTGACCCGGTAAGTTTCCAAGTACACCACTCGATATTTCTCTTCAAACCACCTGCCAAACTCGCGACTCTGCCCAGGTCGCATGCACACTCGCCTGCGAGCTGCGTCTCGCGTGCTTTCGTCCCCCAGTTGCTGCACACCAACTCCCCCTACCAACCATCTTCCGCGAGGTAACGAGTGCCTACTCGCCCGCGAGTTTTACCAAGCAACCTTCCGAACTCGCCAGCGAAGTCCAACTGGCAAGGTCGCGAGTCTAGCCATTTCAGCCCTACAGCTCGCCAAAACACTAGCACGCCAAGTCAGGTTCGCTCGCTCGTTAATTCTATTCATTACATGTATATTTTCCAGTGTGTGTTTTAGCTAGTAGTATAAATAGACTTAGTCATTTGTAATTTTGGAATAAATTGCTCATTTGCAAAATTTCTCTTCATAGTTATCTCTCTCTCTCTCTACATATATATATATACCTCTCTCTAAGGCCTCCAAGACCCGATTTTTATGATACTATTTCTTCATCAAGAATGCAACTTTCCAGTTTATTTCTTCTCGTGGATGCTATTAGAGACTTAGAAACTTAGTTTAAGATTCAAGATCTCGTAAGTTTCTCTGTCTTTACTGATGAATTTTTAGGGCAAAGATATGAACTTTCATGAGTAGAATAAGCTATCATCTCCGTAGGCTTTTGAATATGTGATTTTGTTGTTAATTGCGTGAATGAGAATTGATTTAGAGTTCGATTAGTTCATGACAAGTGACTATTGGTTGATTACATGCTTCCGAATCTTTGAAGGCCTTCTTTTCACCTAGGTAATAGTTCTATTTTCTCTCTATTTTTCTTTTTAATGCAAATTGAGGATTTTCGTGCCTTAAAGTTGGAGTCTTGTGATGAAGATCGTGCATTGGGACTCGATTTTGTGTAGGAACCCACGTTAACATCCTTGGTTAGAAAATGTGAAAAACCCATACCATCGCCCTTGGTTTATCACGAAGAAAGAAATCGAAAATGAGTCTTTTTTATGTTTTATTACTTTCCTATATATAACTCTACATACACAAACAACATTCAAACTTTTTTTTTTTTTTTTTTT